TTTATGTATGGATGATACTGTATATACATCACCAGAAATGACAGAGGCATATGCTGTTTGATGAGTAGATATAATAATTATTGTGACAGGCCTGTTTGTCTTAAACTTTAAAGTAGTTTTTGGCAAAGCATGTCATAATATAACATAACCGAAATGATTAAAGTGCCTATTTTATCGCTTTTAAAAATGACCTTTCATGCAGTGTAAAAAAAAAAAAGTCATGGTTGTTCTTTGCATGGACAACAAAATATCTATCATCTTCTAAAAAGGCAGATCGAAGATAAAAAAATAAAAAAAAATAAAAAACATGAGCATCAACAGGCACACTACTGTAGTCTTCAGCTCTCACAGGTTTGGGGAATTAACACGGCTGTTGCCCAAGGGTAGAGAGCCACAGTTAGCAGGAACACAGCCGGTAACACGAGCTGTCATAATCCACACTGCTCCCGAATCACACACACACATGCAGACACACACAGTCCTATAGCCCCGCAGCAACACCATGTACTACACTTAACACGGGAGTCAAGGGTGGAGAGAAACAGGAGGACAGAGAAATTTTTCATTTATGCTGTCTATAGCAGTCCTCAGCGCACACCAGTGTCTGCCTCTCTGCGCTTCTGTTTCAGCTTTGTAATTATTCACTGCATTCGTCCTGAAATATTGTTTCCTGCAAAATGTCAATATTTTTAAAAAGAGATTTACTCACAAAGCAACATTACAAAAGCATCACTGGCTTTGATTATATTTTCCCTTGGATTTTTGTAGTTTTAGGAGAAACCAGCATAAAATAACTTAGAACTAACTCTAACCAATAACTAGGGCTAGACAGAATCTGCTGACAGATTTTGCTGTTTCTGCTGAGCATTTTGTAAAAGTAAAAACTAAATATGTGGAAAAAAAAAAATTTATAAGTAAAACTTTTATTTAATGTTTACAATGCACATCCAATTAGATCAACTTATTGGGTAAACAAAGCAAGTCTCTGATTTAATAGATCCACTGAAAAACAGAATGTATTACTCCACAAACTGTATTGTAAATAAATAATATGAACATTGTCATAGTCAATAATATTACTGGAATTAATTTATTATATTTATAATATCTAGAAATACAAATATTTGAACTGATTAAACATACATGTACACAAATAAATAAATACTGTACTACATAACTACTAATGGCTTATTACCTGCCTACTATTAGATATTAACTGTTAATTAGCACTTGTAATATTCTTTTTTACATCCCTAATCCTACCCAATGTCTACTTACTACTTTACTAACTATTGATAAGAAGCTAAGCTAATTGGTACTTTAATAAGCTAAAAGTCTAAATGGTTGGTTAATAGGGTGAATTGTACATTAAAGTGTGACCAAATCAATAAACACGTATACGTAATGTATTATTGTCTTTTTAAAAGCATCTGTCACACTTTATAATAAGGTTAATATAATTAAAGCTTTTCTCAGTCACTTTGGTCCATTTCTCGAATCAGAATTGAAATTTTCAAAATTACCCTTTCAGTCTTCAGATCATTGTGTCACTTGTGCGCATCAAAAAAGAAAGTTTCTCATTAATTTAAACAAGTTGTAGATGCTTTTATGCATCCATGCAAATGATTATGTGCAATTCTCTGATGTTTCCTATATTATCAATTGCTTACGTCATGTTAACTAAATGTATGATTTTGCTCATGTTGAATAGTCTGTTTCCCAGAGATGGGTTGCGGCTGGAAGGGCACCGGCTGCGTAAAAAATATGGATAAGTTGGCGGTTCATCCCGTTGTGGCGACCCCGGATTAATAAAGGGACTAAGCCGACAAGAAAATAATGAATGAATGAATGAATGAATAGTCTCACCCCCCACAACATTTAATGGTTTGTTCATGGCGTAAATCTTCACATGATAAATGGCTGAACAAGTTGTCATAATATTTTGTCATAATGCATTATTCTATGCATTTCTATTGAACTTTTTTCTAAATTTCTCAACAAAATTTCTCCCAGGTACATATTGAATATTCTAATAAAGGTCTAAAAAAAGGAGGTTGTCCTATGTTCACATTTCTATTTATTTATTTTATTTACTTTTTTGTGCTATGCAGTGCTGTCTTTTCCTTTCTGTATCACAATGACATCATCTGTCACCAAATGACAGTACCAAAAATTGCCATCGTTTACACCAGAAGACCCCTCCAGAGTACACTGTAGTATTGACAACATGATAGTAAAAGTAAAATGAAGTAATTTGACTGTCTTATTTATACACAATGACACAAGGACTCGTAATTCTGATGGCACTGACTTGTTCATTGATACAGAAATTTAGTTTGGAGAGATGAACTGGTTCTGCATTTACTAATGCATTATTCAAATCCAAATTCATGCTTGTTTACTTTAGTTAATGGACTGTAATGAACAACTTTAGTAACTAAAAAAACAGTAGTTAATAGCATGAAAAAAAGTTTTACTGCTTATTTGACTACAAATCAAATAATTATTACAATTTATTAATTATGAACCTGTTAAAATGTATGGCACAGTGATGGAAAATCTATTTCTTTTGAACAGTTGTCTCATTTGATCAAATTAATGTTTACATTTAAAGTTCCTGTAAAACCAAAAGACTATGCTATTTTTTGATGCAATATCAAGTAAAATTGTACCACTGTTGCATAATTCTGTATACTATGTGGACCAACAGCCAAAGACAAGTGATGATGTTATATTTATTGGTGATATTGACATTGTTAAAGATAAGTAATAGATATATTAGAAATGTATTTTAAAAGAATCATATATCATCTTCAACAGTCTTCTGGTCATCTAAATTTGGTAACTTTAGTGGAAGAAAGTATGGTTACTAACAAATACATTCTTTGTAAGTAATAAAGTAAGACAGGTATCTTTAAAAAAAATTACTTGTAATTTATCCTGCAACATAATTATTTGTATGGTTTGAAATGGATAAAGAAAACTCTTGTGACTTTTGTGATACTGTTAAATAATCTGTTACTCTTCTGTTGTTGTTTTTTCTTTTTTTTTAATGAGTATACTCAATATTATTCTGGATTGATGTTTCTAACTTAATTTCAAGGACATTTGGTACACTAATACAAATTAGATTTTATGATGTCATGTTTACTTCAGTACAAGATGGAATGGATTCAAAAAGTAAAACTTATTTTCTTATTCAACTAATATTACTTGAAAAATACCATATACATGTCAAGAAATGGGTCAAAGCTATGCCAAATTGTTAACATTTTATAAAGAAGATTAAAAAATATGGTACTACACTATGTAAAAGTGATGTGGAGTCGACTCCAAAAAAGTCGATTCCTTGACTCTCAATGGACCTAGTACCAGAATTGACTCACAGAGTCGAGTTTGTTTTTACAAACCCTTCTAAATAAAGCAGATACATGCTACAGCTATAATGCTCATTGTCGAACACGATGAACATTGAAGGTGCTCACACGAAATTCTTTCACATGTTTAATGCTTTTGCATTTTGAAACCATGAACACTCTAGGCTACTATAAATAGTGCTGCGGGACAAAGTTTGCTTTCACTTTCAAATTCCTATAAAGCACACCTTTTTGCATTTTGGTTTTAAAGATGATCTGCCTGCGATGTCAAGTTTGCCGTGTTATGAATTAAATATAGCATGTGTGTAAATTTGGAGCAGATTGACGCCTTACTGTACATTAGCACTGTAAAATTACGATGTTGTTTTTGGTTGCTGCTATATGCTCTGGTAAAAAAAATAAAAAAATTAACAACCGCAGACTGTCCGCTACTCCAAATTATTTTGTTCACTCAAAACTCTGTGATCAAGTATCAAACATGTTTATTAAGATGATATTTATAACTTTTATTTAAACATTGTTTGGACTCAATTGGGGTATTTTTCTTTGTTAATTAACTGCTGCACATCTTGACATTAAATATTTTGATAATAAATAGATTTTTTTTACTTTCTGTCTCCAAGATTGCAATTTTATTTTATTTTTTATTTCTATTTATTTATTCATTTATTTATTGATTGCAGATTACTTGAACTGCTGATTTTGTCTGACCAGAGGAGAACTGCATGTATAAAGTGCGATATGATACATCATGTTTAATCCTTGCTCTATTTTAAGTGAGAGTAAATTCCGGAGTCGATTCCGGAGTCGATTGTAGTCGAGAATCGGAGTCGACTCCAAAAACCTCTGCTACAGTGGTTCTCAAACTTTTTTTTTATCAAGTACCACCTCAGAAAAAAATTGTCTCTCCAAGTACCACCAAAATGAGCAGTATTGAAATACAGTACAATAGCGTAGAAGGCCCAGTAAAGCAGCTACATCTCTGCACAGTTAAAAAAAAAACATGGGAGATTACCTCTATATCGCTACCTCTATACCGCTATATGTCATATATGGCATATTATTTACATAGTTTTTGATAAATTTTTAAATGTGTGTAGCATGTACATGACATATTTAATTCCTCCGCGTACCACTAGAAGGAAGCTTGTGTACCACAGTTTGAGAACCACTGCTCTACTATGTAGCATTAGGAACAGAAAAGCTAAAAAAAAAAAAAATACAAAAATTAATGAAGCATTATGTAAATTTAATTTAATTTAATGAATGCTTATTATTATTATTATTTTATATTTTATATTATTAATAATATCTTACATATTTATTTATTTTACTCATGGCATCTCTTTATACTTTGATTGTACAACTAAGATAATTTTTCTCATTTTTTGATTATTTTATTTTGTTGATAATTGTTGTGAGATGTATACTCTTGTACTGTTTGTATATATTTACAATTTAAAAATATAATATAATATAATATAATATAATAAAACATAATATAATAATTTCATTCTCACTTCTTGCGCCCTTTCCACACAAAACTTCATAAAATTAATGCAAAAATAGCAAATATGATAAAAAAAGTACCACAAAAAAATGCTCAGTTGTTGACGCCGATCATTCATAGTTTGAATACATTTTATTTCTCATTATAAGTACAGTTCAGTAGTTACAAAACAAAGCATCTGCCATGAGGATACAGCAACCAAATGAAACTCATACAGTCCACAAGACAGCTCAGAGGTGTGGAATGCTCATATATTAGTCCAGAACGACTGAAAGAGAGATTATACTACACAGAGGAGGGAGCCAGAGCTGTGCTGTGCTCATCTAGAACCAGTGTATATAGGGATCAGTCAAGACATCAATCCTATCCCTGGCCTTTACCTTAACGTAGCCTGTACTAGTTCACCCAAACTAGTTCACAAAACAGCTTCACTTTGAGACATTGTTTTTTTTTCTTTTTTTTTTACTTTTCTTTTTAAATTGTAGCATTTACAAGAGGATTTATCCTTGCATGAAAACTATTCAAATGAATTCAATTTTCAGAGTTGCGCTTTTTTTTTTTTTTTTTTTTGCAAGGAAGACAACTAAAGAAAATGAGCGTTTTTGGAGTCTACACACAACGAGGGGAGGATTGATTCTCAAAGATGACCATCATAAAGATGAGATAGTTTGAACTACACAGACCAAATCAGCAGAGTTCACAAAAAGAAAAGAAAAGAAGAAAAAGAATAGAGAGAATATCAGTTCACAACGTCAAGGGACGCACAAACACGCACGCACACACGCACCTTCATTTTCCATTAGCGATCTGCGTACTGTATAGACTGGTTTTTCATTTACTATCACAGTGCAAAATACTTGGGGGTGGGGGGGAACCTCAGTTTTGTATTTGCTTGCATGAGGCGCAGGTATATATTTATATATATCGTATGGATTTATATGCTTGCAGCAACAGAAGAAGATTGTCAATCTTTCTCTCTTTTTTTCCTTTTCTTTTAATGTTATTGGTATTTTACAAAGGTGAAAGGCAAAACAAAAAAATTACAGTACTAGAGAAGAAAACTCCAATCTAATACATACACTCTAAAACAGCTAGCTTTGTAAATGCAACAACGCATGACTGTATCTATGGCTAGACAATACTTGCTTCTTGTTTGCTTTTTTTCTTTCTTTTTTTTTCTTTAATAATTGAATACATCAAACCATTTCAGTAGTCAGTAACACTTTTGCAACACTGATTGGTGGCAGTATATTACAAACACAATCTCATAACCAGAGTACTTGAAGTGAGCAAGACTGAGATCAAAGCATGTAAGGGTTAAGGGCCGCGTTTCTGTTTGATTTCCTGCACATTCACAGACTCCGTGGCTCGTGCCGTTTCATCCGACACGCTCGGTGTAAACTAGTTCTTCTGTCACCTCGGCTGGTTTTCCATCTCGAATGCTACAGCGTCCTCTTTGTTTGTTTGTTTTTGGAACGTCTCACAGACACATCAGGAGAACAAATTGTGTGTAAAAGGCGCAGCTTCCCTTTTTTCTTTTCGTTTTTTAAACGCAGTGTTGACGTTTCCTGAAAGTACTGGATTGTCATTCGTCCGCTTTGACGTCCAGGCACTGGCTGCTGAGAGAGTGTGCGGAGGTTTCAACGAGAGCATGTGTGTGTGCTTGGTCCAAAAGTCCGGAGGAACATTTTTTTAGGAAGCCTCAGACAAATAACACTGGTGAAGTTTCAGTGGGCAGTGAGAAACACCGACAGAAAGAGAGAGAGAAAGAGAGCGCGAGTTACTAGCTCTCTCATTCTGAAACTGGCAACTGGTCGCCATCTTGGTTCAAGGAATGTGTTGGGACAAGCACTTCAAAGTTTCCTCACTAAGTCAAAAAAAAAGCATTTAAAAACACAGAAAGTATTTATCAGCTACACAAGGGAGGATTCAAGACACGTAAAACACAGGAAGCCAAAAAAAAAAGTTTGTTTTTTTCTTTCCTTGTTTCCAGCTCGCTAAACAAATCTTCTTCCCTTCATCCAGCGAGAACGCCTGTGTAGGAAACCATCGGAGCCGTCCCATTTATACGTCTCTTATGTTAAATAATGCTTTTGATAAGATACTGTCCTTCATAGTCCTGGTCCTGGTTTTGGGTGTCGCCTGCTCTTGGCCGCTCAGTCCAGTAGGGGGAGGTGATGTTAGTTTCTGATTAGTCCTGCATCTCTGTGTCAGTTAGGCTATGTTCAGGGGTAAGAGCAGGACCGAACCTTCGGGACGCCTCTTCTTCCGCCCACAGATGAACTATGGTTGAGAGAACAAACGCAGATTAACACCACGGCCTGTGTCCTTCCTTTCTCTCTCTCTTTCTTTCACACAAATGCATACAACTTGTGACAGACCATTATCATCAGAAAAAAAACATATTATTACGTCTGATGTCATTTATTTTGAATTATCATCTCAGATTTTTGCTAACACTTTAAGGACGTTGAATTCAAAGAACATTATTAGCCTGTGATAATGACTCTGATGACATAAAAACAGGACTTCAGGTCCACTTAAGTATTAGCAAAATGTAAATTCTTTGATGCCTTTGAACAACAAAGGGTTTTGAACAATTACGATTAAACATTTTGCTTTCGGTCACTTAATTATAATTTTCAAAGCAGTTATTATGAGGGGGGTATATCGTTTTTGGGTGCATTTGGAGGGAAATATGTGTGTGTACTGTATGCGTTTAAATGTTGGCTATTATTCTTTCCATTCAGCTGTACTGATAACCTCTAATGGCACTAAGGAAAACACATCTTGAGAATTATTAGAAAAAACATTAGATATGCGAGCAGGGTAATTTGAATACTTTCAGACTTCTTCCAGCTCTAATATGAGGATATAAATATATAAAGTCTTCTAATATAAAGACAATAACTCTCTGAACATTGCACTTGTGCAATTACTGCTGAAGTTTGAATCCGGTGAAAATGCTTACTGCTTTTTTTCCCCCCCTCTCTCTTCCTATTTATGTGCTATCGCCGTTTGAACTAAATAATATAAATGTTGTTTAATTCCCTCTACAACCCCTAAGAAAATTATTTGGCAATAAAATCTACAGAGTGCATTTCCGAGTCGTGTTCTTTTAAAGTGCCTCTATGAAAATGACAAAATGAAATTAAAACATGCATTTATTTGAGTGTGCTCTCGCAAGAAATGTTATGGAAATGAAACGAGGAGTCAGTTCCCTGCTAATAATGGAATAAAACATCGTCATTTAGATTTGCCAAAGAGCAATAACGCTGACGCCCACTCGCTTTGCATTATGCGCACAACTCAGATGTGATCTTCTTTAACAGACACACTTTCCACTCAGATGTCAGACGCCTCTCAAATTGATGATAGAGATTAAGAAAACAAAGCGACCTCTTTTGTGTCATGTCACACAATATTCTTGCATAAATAAACAAAACGGGCACTGCTCGGATATTCAGAAATCGCTAAATAATATTATTAAATATTTGTGTATGTGTGTTTGTTTTTATTATGCTTTATGTATTTATTTTTATTCATTTATTTGACATCTGATTAATAAATTAACAATGCATTTTAAGCTAGTTTAATAATATTTCATGATATATAATATAATACGTTTAATAGTTAGTCATACTGTGTTTTACCCATTATATAGATGTTGTCTTTGCATATATACAGTTGAATTCAGAATTTTTCGCCCCCCTTTGATTTATTTTTTTTATTTTTTAAATATTTCCTAAATGATGTTTTACAGAGCAAGGACATTTTCAAAGTATGTCAGATAAAATTTGTTCTTCTGGAAGAAGTCTTATTTGTTTTATTTCAGCTAGAATAAAAGCAGTTTTTAATTTCTTAAACACCATTTTAAGTTAAAAAATATTTGCCCCTTTAAGGTAATTATTTTTTTGATAGTCTAAAGAAAAAAACTTTGTTATACAATAATTTTCCTAATTACCCTAACCTGCCTAGTTAACCTAGTTAAGCCTTTAAATGTCACTTTAAGCTGTTTAGAAGTGTCTTGATAAATATTTAGTAAAATATTATTTACTGGCATCATGATATCGATAAAATAAATCAGTTATTAGACATATTAGACAAAAAAATAAACAGAGGGTCAATTAATTCAGGGGGGCTAATAATTCTGACTTCAACTGTAATTGCTGCTTTGGTCATCTTATATTTAGACTGATACCAAGTACTGTTCGTTACAAATACCATAAAATAATTGCACTTTTTGTATAAAAAAATCGTTTCTAATAAAACAAAATTAAAAGAGTAATACTGGGGAAAAAATACTGTTTTCCAGTAACTTAGTTTACCAAATAAATAACTTGTTTAAGTCTTTTAGTTGCACTTTAAGCTGAATACTAAGATATTGCAAAACATTGTATTGTCATCGTGGAAAAGGAAGCAGAAATTAGTTAGTAGAAATTAGCTATTGAAACTATTATATTTAAAATAATTAAAAAGAAGGCTGATAATTTTAAGTCATCTTACATACATACGACTATACATTAGATTAGTCAGTACTGAAGCCAAATTTAGAGCTTATCTAACAAAATAACTTACAATAACGGTCCAAAAAATAGTACAGCCAAATTTTTGTTATAGAAAAAAGATTAAATACAAATTTAAAAAGAGGAATAGTCAAGAGAAGCAAAAATAAATAAATAAATAAATAAATAAATTGTTGAAATTTTGTACTTTGTAATGTTTTTTTTTTTTTTTTGCAATATTTTGCTTGAATTTAATTGTATTATCTTTCAATTTTGAAATATGTTTAGTGACTAAAATATTAATTTAATAAAGAAATATATTTAATAAATCTGTTTTGTTTAAATGCACATGAATACATTGCCTATATTCACTGAGAAATGGATACAAATATTAGTTTTCATAAATGGGGTGTACTCAATTATGCTGAGCACTTTATATTGGCACAACTTTATAATTACAATAGACATGCAGTAGAATCAAAGCACAGCCACACATTTCTAATAAGCATTGAACATTAAGCGTATAGTACACAGTTTGTCCAGGAGATGGCAGTATAAGCCTCTGAATTAGCCATCCCACCAACTGCATGCTGGAAATAAGATCTTGTTACTCAATGTCATTTTCCTTTAACCTGCTGATATTTCACATTAATCTACAGATAAAGTGGTAGTTATTTATCAAATCTGAAGTGATTGGCAGTGTTTTTAAAGACTATACAGCGGTCACGGCTCTACAGCAGCCTGTTAGCATTTTTTGTGCGTGTCCGTAAGGAAATGAAGATAATCATAACCATAATGATAATAAATTATGTTCTCGAGTTTTAAAAATGCCTGGTCTCCCAGGGGCCAGTGCTCTTCGTGACTTCCTCTTAAAGAAAGTTCTGGTAATGAGTTACAGATTCCGCCCCATATTTGATTTTCACTCTTCATTAACTAAGCCACCTGGTATGTTATTATTTAAGGACGCCATTTCTTTTCCCCAAACAACTGCCACTGCGATCTGGAGACTAGCGCGCCGACTTTATGATCCTCACAACTTTTTCCTCCTCCTGTTCTGATCAATTTTGAAGTCTCCCTGTCCACATGTGGAGCGATTGCTTAATTATTTCGCCAGAGTAGAAATCTTCATCATAGTCTGGCCTGTCAAATTATGTTATCGGTGCATTTTCTCATCATTTGAATAATGTGTCTTTGTTAACCAAACATCAGTTTTCCTTGCCATAATCACAGCCCTAAATTATTTTTTTTTTTGTGAACGATCAAGATTTTAATTAGGCTACATCACCTTAGATCTTAAAGGGATCGTTCACTCAAAAATGAAAATTCTCCCTTCACTTGTTTAAAATTTGACTGTCTCTACTGTTAAATATAAAAGAAGACATGTTGAAGAAAGCTGAAAACCTGTAACTATTGACATTCCATAGTACTTGTTTTTCCTTCAATGGAAGTCAATGGTTAAATGTTTTTAGCTTTCTTCAAATTATCTTCTCTAGTGTTTAACAGAATGAAGAGTTTTGAAACCACTAGAGGGTGAGTAAACAGTGAGTGAACGTTCATTTTTGGGTGAAACTATCCATTTAAAGGAAAATCAATAATAAAAACATTATATTTCATCCATCTATCCATCCATCCATCTAAAACGAAATAAAAAGAGGAGAACACGACGCCCTCTACTGCTCAAGCACGATAATACACTCTCAGTGCGAGACAAGAGAGGGCCCTGGAAAGTAATACAAGACATATGGTAAGAGGACACATAGCTCCAGGATCCATCTTATGTTAATACAAGTGTCATGCTTAACAGAATGGCTAAATGAAAAGGCAGACAGAACAATAGCACAGCACAAGGCTGGAAGCGAGCTCAGTTAACAAGGGCCAGCACACTTGGGGAAGAGCGAGGCTGTGTGGAGTCAAAGTCCTGACATTTCCTAACTGCTTCTTATTATTCCCGGACCACAGAGTTAAGGCGAAGCGCGCTCCCATCTAAAACACTGAGCCGCTTTATACTCCGACCTCCCTCAGGTATTCTATTTTTACCATGAAATCTACTTAGTGTATATTTGTGTTTCAAAGACCCGCTCGTTTTAGGTTTCCTGAGAACAGGGGCTGTTTAATTGGAGGAAAATGTTGAGGATATGAATTTACAAACGTTTGAAATGCATGTTTAAAGGGATAGTTTTATGATTAGATTAACATTCTGGCATCCCCCCATTTGTTCAAACAAATTCTTGGACTATACTACTATAGTTATTTTGAAAAATAGTGTAAACTTGTAATCATTAACTTTTTTGAAGAAAGTGTCACCTTACATAACTCCTTTGCACAACATTAAACCGTAAATATCTCTATTGCACAATATTCACCTTTAATACCGCAATGTCCTGCACAAAATTATTCAGTCTCATGTAAAAGTACTTGCACAGCCTGTCTTATGTGTATAGTTAAGTATCTCAAAGTATGTTAGTTATGCATAGTTTTTTTATTTATAAAATAGCTCTTATGTCTAGTGTTTTGTTTGTGTTTATGATTAATTTACAGTATGTAGCACCACTGTCCTGCGAGACACTACATGTCATTCCTCTGTACGTATGTCCACACATGTAGCGGAATGAAAATAAAGCTCGACTTGACTTTTATAGAATGGTTTATCTTACTACGGAAGTCAGTGGTTTCTAACATTTTTCAAAATATCTTCAAAATATTGTATCATCTTGCATTTAACAGTACAATGAAACTCAAAAAGATGTGGGACCACCCGAGGGGTCAATTAATGCTGAG